AGTTTTGCACTTATATGTTTGACAGCACATATCACATATACTATTATGTGGAACAGGATACCTTATATGATGCAAGGCATAAACAAGGTACTCAGGATAGCCTGCAGTAAACAAAATGTCATCGAATCACTCCTAAAAATATTGTATTGATAGAATATTTAGAAATTCTGTAATCAATCAGGCAAAATCCATCCTCCCCAAAATGTGTACTTGGATTTTGGAATAAAACTCTAACCTGCTGTCATGTACAAGTTTTTCTCCCTATATATGACTATTCCACCCCATATACACATCTGTTCCTTAATGGAACTATGGCCTATAAAATAGCCGTAGGAGAAAAAAAAATCTCCATATTCAACATCAAGCTCAGCATTGGACATATAATGAGATCTCATTGTTGATTAAATGAATAAATGAATGAATGAAAATTAATAGCCGGGGATGCTGGGACCTATGAAAAGTGGAATTACAATAGAGTCTCTACTCTTCTTGTATCCTTTATACATACTATATAGCAATAACCTTTTTTTTAGCAGTGTCTTAAAGGTACTACTAAATTATTTTCATTAATGCATTAAGTTTACCAGTACAGACATAGGAATAAACCTAGAATTTCAGGACAAAGTGAATAAACTGCTACAGACCATTGAATTTACTTTCAAAATGGCTATGGAATACAGCTTTATATTTAAAACACAACTACCACTGCTTCATTAAAATACACACACGCATATGTGTGTGTGTGTGTGTGTGTGTATATATATATATATATATAATCTTCCTTTGAGATGCACCCCTAGCTCTCTAGGTACTCTCACTGGCAAAGGCCATATTCTTTCATAAAGTTCTGCTGCAGAAAGTTTCCTGTGCTAGTTTGCCAGAGAGTTGTAATTCCACCTTTCAGTTAAGGAATTATCCCCTGATCAAAATATTAAGAGGAGCAGCACTAGCTCCTATGATCAGGTCTTAACAGCTTAGCCTAGATCTACTTAGAATAACTTGGGATTTCCTTCCAACCAGGGAAGACAGGAGACAAACTTTAGTGGGTAGATGTATGAAAAGACAGGTTAAGAGTTTTGTATTTAAGTACAAATGGACCAGAATCGGACTTGAAGGCAGGCCTGGATGTGGAAATGCACACTCAGCATTGGTTAGATCAGTGGATGATGGGTTTGGTGACCCAAAGTGTGAAGAGGGCATGGAATGGATGGAGTTATGAAGATACCCATTTTGTCTAGGGCTGAACATAAACACTTCAGTCAGGTGAATTACACTTGTACTGTACATATTAATAAGATAAATATGTTCTCACCGCAAATGATAGCTTGTTGAAAATGAATAATATCTTCTTCTAGGCAGTAATTTATACTGATTTACTATTAAGACAACATTCTGAGTAAGTGTGATTTGTATCCTACATGACAGATAATCTTCCCTTTCTGTCTCTAAGAATATACATAGCACTCTTTACAAAAATAGAGTCAAATAGAGCAGGACTTCTGAAATCTTTGCGAGCTCTGCTAATATTTAATGCTTCCTTAATTGAAATAAACTTGGTACTCTTTTTCAATTCTGATGATTTTTTTCTTAATATTTTCTAACCACCTAAAGTAAAGAAGCCTTTTAAACCATGTTAGGAGGAATAATTTTACTTTGTTATGGAACTTTTATCATAACCTTGATGTCAAATGACAGGTAATGAGCATCTAGTGTATACCTGGGCATTGGCTAAATCACAACACTTTGTAACTTACCAGCTTTAAGTAGGCAAAAAGTAAAGACCAGAGAATAGTCTACTTATTTTATAATAAATATAGAATGACTACAGAGAAGAGCTCTATTAAACAATTCATAATTAGAACACCAATGATGGCCCTTTGTAATGGTGTAATGATTCTTATGCACGGGTCACTTCTGCTTTTTGGTGGTCCTGCAATCACATTCCACTTTTGCCCTAAGAGTTTCCTTATCTTTTTTCAGTATCCTGAATGTATACACTGCTTTTAATACAATCAGACCATTATTGCTCAGACTTTCCATGACCCATCCTCTCTCCTTAACCCACCCTCCATCCTCTGCTCAGTATTATTTTATTTCCCGCATGCCCAAACACATGTTTTCTCCCTGTACTCATTTAGGTCTTTCTTAGCTCTTGTCCCCAGGAGCCCCAGGGTTCTATCATTTCTTTCTTAATATTTTATTTATGTATTTATTTGAGAGAGAGAGAACATGAGCAGGGGAGGTGGGGAGAGCCAGAGGGAGAAGCAGACTACCTCCTTGCTCAGCTCAGCAGGGAGCCTGACGTGGGGCTCGATCCCAAGACCCTGGGATCATGACCTGAGCCAAAGACAAATGCTTAACCAACTGAGCCACCCAGGTGTCCCTATCATTTCATTAATGACATCAAACCGCAAGACTAAGAAGTCCATGAGGTTAGAAGTTCCTATTTTAAATATTTTCCCATCCCTTTGTCTTCTCTCTTTGTCTTCAGATTGGGCTGTGCTTTTTTTTTCCTTCATTTATTCTAAATTCAACTCTTTAGGCATGGATTTTACAAGAATTCCTCTGCTTCCTAAATCCCTAAATCTACTTTCTTTCCCAAATCTATAAGCCAAGTGTTACTTGTCAGTTCATTGATTCTGGCTTGAGAGCAGAGAAAGGAAAAGCCACCCACCAGATAACTTTCTGTTCCACTTTCTCCCTTTGTGAAAAAAGACGTATCTTGTGTCAGATTTTTTTTTAAAGTAGAACTGTTCCTAAAGATAAAACTTGGAAAGAAAGTGAACTTCTTAGAAGAATTATGCCACATGAAAGATGCCACCAAATGCATTTTTGAGGGGCTTATAATGTATGTGCTAGAACTTTTCATCACAGTTCACAATGAAAATAATTTGGCATGAAAAATCAAATCAATGACTCTAGATAAAGTAGATTCATTATTAAAATATATAAAGCTGGGGTGCCTGGGTTGCTCAGTTGGTTAACTGTCTACCTTTGGCTCAGACAGGTTATGATCCCAGAATCCTGGGATCAAGCCCTGAGTCAGGCTCTCTGCTCAGTGGGGTGTCTGCTTCTCCCTCTCCCTCTGCCCCTCCCCCCTGTTTGTGCACTCTCCCCCCCTCAAATAAATAAATAAAATCTTAATATATTATAAAATATCATTACATTTATCAAATGAAATAATGCAAGTACAGCTCAAATCAGTGCTGGGCACATTGAAAACAGTGAATGTTAGTTTTCCTTCTCATTTTGTGGCTTTTCTATACCCTCAGCATCTGTATGTGTGTGTGTATTTAAAATATACCTAAGTATTTGTTTGTGAGGTATTATAATAATTTTTCTTGAAATCTGAGGATACTTAATGACCAGCATATGATATGACTTTATGAATTTCTTCAAACTTAGAGGTGCAGATCAGAACATTATGACCTAGATTGCATAATGAAATATGTCGTGGGTAGCGATAAGGCCCATACATTCAGTTCCTGTAATGCACAATAATTTCCAGTTACAATTCTGACTTAGAAGCTAGTAGATATAGACCTTTCTTCTACATGCTTTTTGACTTTAGAATTAAGGACAGCCACAGATAGAACTTACATTAGCGTAGTGCTTGGCAAGTCACTCAGCCCAGCCCTCTTTTTGGTAAGCTTCCTTCTAATTTTAAACTGTTCAAAATTATATGTTTCAGCAACTACTTCTTGCCTCCTACTATATTTACAGAGTTTCTAAATCAATCCTTACAACTTCTAGGCTAGCATTTATTTTTGGTTGTTGAATAAACTAGAAAGCTATGAAATAATTGCTTTTGTTTAGATGCTTTCACAGCATTTCTATAAAATGTTTTCATAATACCCTTTACCTTCTTTATCAAATCCCAGTTTCATCTTTATCTTTGATATCTATCATCTTCCTAAGAGCACTTTCCTTTATTTTAATCTCTGTATTTGTTTTGCCCATTTATTTTGCTCATTATGAAGTAGAACTAAGGTTACAATAGCACACTTCTTGCTAAGTTCTCAAAGAAAAAAGATGGATTAACTACACTCCAAGAGTCAGAATTTAATTTAGAGAATTAAAATAATACATAATTATTTATAAAAGAAAGCTCTAAATAGACTTCAATGTATTTTCTATTAAGATCCAAAATGTTTTATTTCACTAAAATTAGCATTATTATATTATTCTTTTATGAACATAAATACAACTTGGATGAATTAAAAAAATAAAACACATTTTCTCAGTAGCCCCACATGCTTCACAACTTCCTAATTCATTAGAACACAATTAACAGGTCTCTTAGAACACTGATTACCATCACATGCCAGGCTATGATGAAGCAATGTGGTTCTCTAAGTAGAATACTTGCAACTATGTATGAATTTAGCTTATTCAAACTTATAGGCTTTGACTACTACCTGACTCAAACTTTTGCAAAACTCTACTAGACAGGCGCTTTAACCAACTAAGCCAGGGAGCCAGCACTAACTTTTGCAAAACTCTAGATGTCCCATTATTAATTCCATATTTATATACTTATATTTTCATTTATCCCTTCTGTTCCTTGGCCATGCATTCTAACTTTTTCAGATTTCATGACTTACTTAAGGTTTAAATGAAATTATTTATGTTGAAGTAATATTTACTGAACAAATATATTTCAAAATTTATTATATACAGCACTGTTCTAGATATTGCGAATGAAGAAGTTTAAGTAAAAAGTCCCTGCTCTCACTAATAAGCACTTATTCTACTTAAGGGAGATAATTGGTAAAAACTAAATAGGTAAATTTTATAATAAGTAGGATGGTGTTAACTGCTGCAGAGAAAAATAAAGCAACTAAGGGGAATGGGGATTCTGATGGTGGTAGTGATATATAGATGTGTGTGTGTGTAGTGTATGTGTGTGAAGTTATTTTTACTAGGGTTGGCAGGAAAGGTTTTATGATAAGATGACATTTGGGCAGACACTAAAGGAAGCAGTGGGAAAAAAAAAAAACTGTGAAGCTCTGGAGAAGGGTTTTCTACAAGAAGAGAACTGCAGGTATGAAGGCCCTGGGGGTGAGTCTGGTTGGTATGTTCAAGGAAAGTAAGGAGGCCAGGGTGTCTGAAACAGAGTGAAGGAAGGGAGTGTGGTAAGAGATGAGGTCTGAAAGTAACAGGGTGGGTCTGAGGGAAGGAAGATTATGTTCGGACCTCTAAGGCTTTTGTATACATGCTGACTTTCTTATAGGACTACATGATCTCCTTTGTTGTTTTTTTAATTATTATTATTTTCTTTCTTGTAACTTAATGAAACAAATTGACCACAATAAAATGCACTAGTCTTAAATTTTCAGCACTAGGAGTCTTGACAATTACAGAGTTGTACATATCCATGCAACCAGTGCCCCCAATAAAATAGAGAACATTCATATCACACCAAGAAGTTCCCTCATGCCCTTTCCATTCAGTTCTTCCTTTTTTTTTGTTCTTGAACTTACATAAATAGAACAATATAGAACATATAGTATATACACTTTTGTGTCTGGCATCTCTTGCTCAACATAATGTCTGTGAGAGTCATCCTTGTTGTTACATAAATTAATAGTCCATTTCGTTTTATTGCTGTATAGCATTCTAATGTTTATTTGTTTATATTTTTTATGTATCCCGTTCCTTTCCTTTCCAAATTGATGTAATTTGGGCTGTTTCCAGTTTGTGCTTGTTATGAATAAGGTTGCTATGATGTCTTTTTGAGGACGTAGGTTTTTATTTATTTGGAGTATATACCTAGCTGGGCCATAGCGTAGATGCATGTTCAACTTTATAGTAAACTTCCGAACAGTTCTCCAAAGTGTTTTTCATTTTATACTCCCACTAACATTGTATAAGGGCTGTGGTTGTTCTCCACTGATATTGCTAGTAATTTTTTTTCATTTTATTCATACAAGTGGGCGTGAAATGGCCTTTGTTGTTTTAATTTGCATTTCTCTTTTGGCTAATGATGATGAACACCATTCCTGCACTTAGTGATCATTCCTATATCTTCCTTGTGACATGCTGGTTCATGGGCTTTCTCTGTTTTGTAAATGAGTCTCTTGTCTTTGTATTGTTGATTTGTGGAAATTCTTTATATATGTACTCACAAAAGTACTTTTTCATAGATATATATATATATACATATATATATTCTAAATATTTTTCCCAGTGTGTAGTTTGCCTATTCCATTTTCTTAATGGAATCTTTTGATGAATATAAATTTTTACTTTTGATGAAATCTCATTAATCATTTTTGTTCTTTTCAGATCAGTACTTTATGTGTCTTGTTTACTATGTTTTCACAAGTTCACTAAGCTATTTTCTATTTTCATCCAGAAGTTTTATAATATTAGCTTTTACATTCAGTTTATGATGTACCTCATATAAATTTTTGTATATAAAGTGAAGTAGGGACTGAGGAGGGTTTTTGTTTTTTTGTTTTCTTTTGTTTTCCATAGAGATCATATCTTTCTAGACTTTCCTTTCCCCATGTTGTTAGCTCAGTGTTTTGGTTGAACATCAATTGATCATATATGCCTTACATTTTAAAAAGACTACCAGTTCCTGTGTTGACAATATACCGTGGGAGATACAGGAAGGGAAGAAGCAAAGTTAACTCTTAAAAGACTATTGAAATAATCTGAGTGATAAGCTTGGACAATAAAGGCAGCAGGTCTAATTTTGGACATGTTTTGAAGGCAAAACAAGAAGATTTGTTAACAGACTGGATGTGGTTTGTGAGAGAAGAGACGACATCAAGGACACTACAAGTTTTTTGAGCTGAAAAAAAAAAGTAAAAATATGGAGAGATAAAGTTGCTATTTATTAAGATGAGGAAGACTCTATACAGTGGCAAAATCTAGAGATATACTTATACCTGGACATGCTCATAGATGTGAACACTAATCATTACATTTTTTTAAACCATTTGTGATTTGACCATTAGGTAATTTTTTTTTCTTTTTTACTTTTCCTCAGGGACCTTTATGGTCATCTAGATTCTTACATCCAAGTGCCTACTAGGTAGGAATGCATTCAAGTACCTCAAGATTGCTATGATTAAAAACAGATGAAACAACTAACCCCACCCTTGCTCTCTACAATTTTTTTATTGGTTGGATGATGTTTAAGTCAAACAAAAATTGGAATTATTCCAGATGCTTCGCTTCCCTCTCCCTTACTATTATATCTAAGTCTTATAATTTACCAAGCCCTAGAAAAAATAGAAAAATTAAAAATATATGAGAAAAAATAACCTTCATTTACATTTCCTTTATAGGTCTTGCCTAAGAATTTTTGAGACCACATTCATAAAAATCCACACTTACTTCTACCCCCTTGGTTTTGCTCACTAAGAAAATCTGGCTCTGCGGAAGAATAGTAAATTCAGCACATATTTGGATGGCCTGAGTTACAATCAAGACTTGGTTAGAATTATTTTTCTACTTCTTCCTAGCTGTAGGACCCTGAAACAAATTAGGAACTGTCTTTGTAAAATGAAGATAACATTGGTAATGACCTCAGATTAAGTTAGGATCTATGCTTTCCAGTCTAGGGCAGTATTCCTCCCAGGGGTATTAGGCAATGTTGAAACCATATTTAATTGTACAGCTGCAGGAATGAGGAGAGGGGAGTACTACCGGCATCTAGTGGAGGTAAAGACCAGGGCTGCTGCTGAATATTTTATAATATACAAAGAATTACTCAGCTCAGAATGCCAATAATGTCAAAGTTGTGAAACCCTGGTTTAGATCTATACTTATATTTGGTCAAACATATTTACTTATTTTATGTATATATCTTCCCCATTAGACTATATACCCTCCATAAGGAAAGACTGAGTTGATTTTATTCACCAATATACTCCCACTGCCTAGACTAGTGCTTGTACATAGTAGATGCTCAATAGAAAAGTTGATTGATTTCCATATATTTTATTCATGTGTCTGTTTCTCCACTGGATTGCACTCTCACTGAGGGCAAAGCAACTATATTTCCATCAGTGGGCAGTAGCATAAAGTAGAGTGCCTGACATATGGCAGATAAGCCATAATATTTTTTCAGATAACGAAAAATTATGCAGATTCTCTGTAATTTGAAAGAGGATGAAATGTGAAGCTAACACATACTCTTTTCTCTTCCAAAATCTTCTTCTAATGAAATTTTTTTCTACATTCTTAGACCAAACAAACAGCCCACAGGAGTAATTTGTGTGTAGTATAATTAGTCCAAGACTAAAAGATTTTGTTTTAGGGCAGAAAAGAAAAATAATTTTATTTCTCTATAAAATAATACTTTTCAGTCTAATTAGTCACATCTAAACAATAGAAGGAGGTGGTATTTTAAGTTTCAGAGAAGGCGCTCTCTTTCTCAGTGATCTTTTGCATGCTAAGAATTCATAATTTAGCAGTAACGATAAACATACAGATAATCATAATACGATGAGAAAGAAAAGAGACTATGCCATTGAGTTCTCAATGCCTAAAATATTGCCTGGTTTAGAGTAGGTACTGGCTAGGTGAAATTAAAAGAACCTGGTATAAGCCTGACAATAATAAAGTTCAATAAATGGCCACTTTCACTTTTCTCCTAATGGGTAAGAACTCAATGTGTATAAGCTTTTTGTGTATATATCCTTAGCATTTCTACCAGGTCTTTCATAAAGGACCTGGCTATGTTTACTGGGATATTAAGGGATCACCATGATTTTTTTGTTTGTTTGTTTGTTTGTTTAATTTTTTTAAATTTTATTTTATTTTATTATGTTATGTTAGTCACCATACAATACATCATTAGTTTTTGATGTAATGTTCCACGATTCATTGTTTTCGTATAACACCCAGTGCTCCACGCAGTACATGCCCTCCTTAGTACCCATCACCAGGCTAACCCATCTCTCCACCCCCTTCCCCTCTAAAAGCCTCAGTTTGTTTCTCAGAGTCCATAGTCTCTCATGGTTCATCTCTCCCTCCGATTTTCCCCCCTTCATTTTTTCCCTTCCTTCTAATGTCCTCCATGCTGTTCCTTATGTTCCAAAAATAAGTGAAACCATATGATAATTGACTTTCTCTGCTGGACTTATTTCACTTAGCATCATCTCCTCCATGTTTTGAAGGTTTGCTGAGGATCAGTATGAATTCTGGGGAGGAAAGACAATGAAAGGAAATATACTTTCATTGGTGTTGTCCCCATATTCTCATAGATAAACACTATCCTTGTCCAAACTAGACCAACTTTTTTTTAAAGATTTTTTAAATTAATTTATTTATTTGACAGAGAGAGACAGTGAGAGAGGGTGAGAGAGGGAACACAAGCAGGGGGAGTGGGAGAGAGAGAAGTAGGCTTCCTGTTGAGCAGGGAGCCCGATCCCAGGAGCCTGGGATCATGACCTGAGCCAAAGGCAGATGCTTAATGACTGAGCCACCCAGGTGCCCCCAAACTAGACCAACTTTAATTGCCAGACCCTATCTCTTGGGGCTTCAGCTCCATCTATTCTCTCCTCATGAAATTATTTTCCTCTCTCCTCACCTATCAAAATCCCCCTTGCCTCTTAATATCCAACTCAAAATGTACTTCTGCCATGAAGCCCAGTAGATCTCTCCCTCCTTGAACATCAATAGCATTCCATACTTCACTCTCTTTGAAGGTAGTCACAATGTACAGCCCAGACTTAAAAAGTGGGGAGTTATACTCCACCTCCTTAAGGGTAAAGTATCTAAATACTATTTGGAATTGCTCTACATGGGAAATTTCAGGGCTCTCCCAGAGAAGCAGAACCAGTAGGAGATAGATACATGATTGATGATAGATAGATAGATAGATAGATAGATAGATAGATAGATAGATAGATATGATTTACATGCTTCTGGAGGCTGGCAAATCTAAAATCTGTGTAGAGTAGGTTAACACGCTAGATATTCTAGAGCTGATGCTCCAGTCCAGAGAATCCAGACATGGAACAACGTCTTCTTCCAAGAAATGTTAGTTTTGCTCTCAAGGTCCTTCAACTGATGGGATTATTATCATCCAATCCATTATA